TTTTATGTATTTCACTTTAAAAATAGCTTTTCATGCAGAAGAGTACTGTCAAATGCCAGTATTAATCCATGAGCATATTTTAATCACTTTACTTTCTTGACCTCTGTGTCTCTTCTCTGAATTCTGAATTTTTTTAACATTTTTATTGAGTTATATTCATTTTACAATGTTGTGTCAAATTCCAGTGCAGAGCACAATTGTTCAGTTATACATGAACATACATATATTCACTGTCACTTTTTTGTTTTTCACTGTGAGCCTCTTCTCTGAATTCTTTCTGCAAAGAGTCCAGTAACATAACCCTAGAAAATCTGATTTAACTGGTTTGGGTCGGGTCCCAGACATCAGCATTTTCTAAAGCTCCGAAAGTGATCCTAATAGAACGGCAGAGAAGAGATCCACTATTCGGAAAGTCCCTGACACCTCTCCATAAAACCGTCTTCATTCACTTACTCATTCAACAAAGATACTAACAAATCATTCACAACATTTGATATCTTGCCAAGAATTCTGAAGAGTCTAAGAGAAATGTGGTCCAATTTTTTTTCCTAGTCATTACTAATCAGCAGTCTGATAGATTGCCAGTATGACTTCTATTTACAGGAAAATTCCCCAAGAGTCAAAAAGTAATGATTCTCACTTTCCAACTAATCTAAACTTCACAAAGGATAGAGTCACTGATCACTCAAATAAACATAAAGGGATGCAAAAGAAAAAGAAAAATGTTTCTGACGTTCTCCTTAATACCATTTCATATTAATGCATTAGAGTTTCTGGATGGCCTAAGAAAAAGTGTAGATGCAGAATACAGGGAAGCACAGGCCATAAAGTATTAGCATTTTCGAACAGAATTTTGAAGAGTGTTCTATTCCAAAACTACATAAAGCACTGTAATTAAGGAACAAATGCTTAGTGAAAGAATAAGGAACTGACATAACAGAAAGGAAAATAAATAGCTAATATTCTGGAGACAGTCATTCTAACAATAAAACTGCAAAGAGATGAGAAATGAAACCACATTTATTTAACATTATTATAAATATCAGGCCCAACATGCTTCCCAACTTAGCCCATCCATTCACCTCCATTCCAAAATCTGTTCTATGTACATACAAACACATGTCTGTACTATTTTTTATTAATGGACTCATTCCATAAATATTATAACCTGCTTTAGTTCTTTGTCATACACTCTGGTGATCTTTCCATACAAACATATATAAAAGCCTATCTTATTCTACTTAAAACCTGAATAATACGGAAAAATTGTGGAGTTAGTATGGACATATAATTCACTTAGCCAGTCCCTTACTGAAGAATATTTAGGGTGTTTCCAGTGTTTTGCCAAAACAAGGCAACTGTTTTGAGATCTTCATAGTCCTTGGGCTCTATCCAAATTACATATATATATACACATATACACATACACATACACACATGTATTTTTTTTAAAAATTATGTTTCTTTAATTGTTACAGGATTATTGGTCATTGTATTTATTTTTCCACAAACTATCTGTTGATTTATATCATTCATTTCTATTAATCATAATATTCTAACACAAACAACAAAATTAACAAATTAATGCCTCAGGAAAGAAAAGATATTAGTTTAACTTTAAAGCACTAATACTACGGTAAAAAGAAAGATTCTCCTCTTGCATTAAAAAAATATACACACACACATATATATTTTTAATGGAGTTATCTTAGGTTATTTTAACAGTGCCAACAGGTACACTGAATAACTCATTCCTGGAATAAAATTCTTGAGGAAAGCCTAATCTCAAACTCATATCCTGAATTTAGACACTGTTCAATGAAATGTAGCCAAAGTTTTGCCTTAGTAAGAGGTAAGCAATTACATCTTCCATCATATTATCAAAGATTTATTATTTTTAATTTATTACATTTTTGTTCACTGCTTCAACATCATAATTAAGAAATAATGATTTATGAGTATAACTAGTTTTGCTCTAATTATACCCCGAAAAGCAATAAAACAAATTCTTCCTTGGTCACAAAATCTCTTATTTGACATAAGCTTATAACAGGTAGCTATTTTTAATTTTACCACATAATACTCTAATATCAATATGCTCATTCTTTCTTGGTGTATTATAAGAATTGATCAATTTTAGCATAAACTCCTTGGAAGTATTAACACTTGCAACCTTGAACACATAGTAAATAAATCAATGAATTATTTGGGAGCCGTACAATTTAAAAATAAAAAAGCAAGAGCAATTTATGTCATGTTCCTTCACCAAGCAGCACAGGAATTAATGAATGGAATTTGTCTCTGTACAAGAATGAGAAACGCTACTATCCATTTTATGCCATGCATTCAACTCTATTATTTAGAGCAGTTTCCCAACCTCGACACTACTGACATTTTTGCCAGATAATTCTTTGTTGTAGGAAGCTGTCCTGTGAACTGTCGGATGTTTAATGGCATCCATGGCCTCTGTCTACGAGATACCAGCAGCAACTTCCCACCTGATAAGTAAAAATGTCTCCGGACTGTGTCAAATGTCCCCTGGGAACAAAAGTTGCTCAAGAGGAAAATCTCTGGTTTAGACATAGCTGACATTATAACAGTGTATGTAAAGTCAAAGTGAGATTCCTGTGAAGGGCTTCAAAACTTGAGGACAGCTTCAAGAAACTCAGTATGGCTGCTAAGGAAAACCCTCTAATGCAGGGTACTCCCATGCTCTGTTAATTACATAAGATAGGGACTTTCGACTGAGTCTTCTGAGGTAAAATTTCAACAGGTCAGATGATATGTCCAATACTGAAGAGAAAATGAGTGCGTAATCATTTCTACCCCTAGTTCTCACCAGGGATAGGTACATACAACACTTATTAATAAATATGTTTTTTTCTGTTGCTGCTGAAGAAAATCAGGAGATAGGTTAAATATTTTAAAGTAGAATGCCTTAATTATGTTTTGTAAATTTAAAAACATACTATTTTTTAAACATTTTTTATTGAGTTATAGTCATTTACAATGTT